AAGACAAAGCAGCCCCACTCTCTGCACTGTGCTCTGACAGAAATCCGGCCTTGAGGCTCTTTAGCTTGATCAGGCTTGAAAACGGGTAGAAGAATAGAAAAAAGAAAAAGCTCCTTGCGCTATCCTTTTTCAGGGAGCAAAGCTCTACCCTCGCTGACTTGCTGGGAATTCGTAACCCCTGTTAGTCTTACTTTTATGTTGCTTTGGTATGGCAGGCATGTAAGCCACGCACCTCCCTGAGCCTCCTTTGCTTCCAGCTTCGCATTTCACACTATTTTGCGGCATTATTCCAGTAAAGCTTTGGCTTCCGCGAAAACCTGCTCAGAGCCTGTAATTGACGCATCTTCTTGCCCCGCAAGACAGGAAATCCATGTCCAAGAATATTCCCAATAGTCTAATAGTCCAATAAAAAGCCGGATTTTGAGGTTCCTTTCCTTAATTTGCAGAGAGTTTGCCCTTCCAAGCATGGAAGGGTCCTTGGCCGTTGCTTCACGAGGCTATTCCTTGAAAAGGCGTCCATGTTTGTTCTGATCCGGCCTTCTTTAAAGTGGACTACTGCTGCTTTTTTTTTGAGGGTCCCTTTTCTGGCCTTCTTTGTTTAACCCATTTTTGAAAAAATGGTTCCTACTTTGAGACAAACCCACTTTCTGCTGAGAGCTCTGATCGAGAGTTCTTGATCTGCTCGCCGGCCAGGAGCTGGTGAATATCATGGACGAGGTGGCATCTGCGAGTTCACCAGACCTGGCACTCATCGACCGGCTCGGTAGTCTCAGCGACCCATGCGAATGCATTAAGTGCCGGGTCTCCAGACATATATAATATGTTGGATTATATTTGAGGGGAACCTGAATTTGGAACAAGATAGTCATTATTTGTTTCTTGGTGTATCGCTGAGTTTACCAGGTTTTGGTTGTGGCTCAGGTGAGTTCCATCGCCCGTAAGCCAGGTCGAAGGAACGTCAGAGTTCGCTTTGGAGCAATTTGAGTTTGGATACAGCTTATGCACACATAAGTATAAGGGACAGATTGTACTGGTTGCAGTTGCCTGGCTTCTGGAAGACTGCTCGTGCCGTGCATCTATTGCCATGAGAGTGCCGAGGAAATCATATTCTGCAACTTGGATAGCCGAATTTGTGTGCAGCTGCTTCAGCTGGAAGATGCAGCAGATGTTCGAAAGGCGCGGCACAAAAGCATCACTAGACCAGTCCGGGACCGGGAATTGTAGTGGCGGCAGCAATATGCCTGCTTTGTTTGTCTAGCGCTGAGGCAAGCAGTTGACTCACACCGGCATCTCACTTACACATTCAGAGAGAGTCGGTGCAGACTTGCCAACCCAAATGAATGATAAGATAAAAACTGAGCAGCTGAAGGCAGCCTATTGGCACCTTGTGCAACCCGCCAAATTGCTTTGTGAGAATATGTAGTGGTCCGCTTGCAGCATAACATGCTTGAGTCAGACATGTGGGAAGCCTATTTCTTGTAGTTGCCCCTTTTTGTGATTTAAAGGGAAGCTCGATCGAAATCCACCCAGTTTTCTGTGTGTGTGTGTGTTTTTTTTCTTTGTTTTTTTAATGGTGTCGAAAGTCGGAAGAAGGAAGAACCCCCCCCAAAAGTGGCGGTTCTCCATTTGGCTTCCCGCCATCGAGTCCCGCCACCATCGAGTCCCCGAGACTCTGGCGGAGATCGCGCAGAACATCGACAAGGTGCGCGCCACCCCGGTGGCAGATCGACTGGAGGCAAAGTGGCAGGAGACCGAGAAGGCTCAATTAGCCGCTGGGATGACATTGTTTATGGTTTTATTATATTATATATATATATTGAAATATATAAAATTATAAATTTCCCTGGGATGACATTGGCCTACCTGCTGAGGTCTCCCTCCAAACTAGTCGATGGTTTAGGATAAACATGAAACCAGAGTTGGGTCAAGCTAGAGATATGCCCGAAAAGAACGAGGCCCTCGGTTGGTTGAGTTTCAAAGCGACAGCAAGAGGACACCGAGCAGTTGGTATATTTTCGGAAGCCCATGCGGGCGACCGGGACTTGTCTCAGAAGAGGGCAACCAGTTGAGCGCCCAAAACCGATTCCTATTGGCCATGTTTTAGCAGCTGGTTCTATTCCCTGGTTTAGTGAGGGTTATAGTGAAGCCATTAAAAACAAAAAAACACTTTGTAACCACGTTGGTGGAACCATACGTCAATGGTTTTCGGGCGCTGCTTAATGCTTCACGCCTCCGGTAAGGCAAGGCCCTTGCTTGTGGTAGACCTGACACTTGGGCTCTGGATGGGGTTGCCAAGGAGGCAGGAACTCGCTCTTTCCCGGAGCCATGTTCCCCAAGTCCCCAAGTCCCTCGTGTCGGTTCCGTGAGCTGCTTGGATCGATTCAAAGGTCCAGCACGTCAAAGAGATTGCAGAGATCGTCAAGGGCACCAGCGAGCTCACGAAGCTGATCGAGGACAGTTCAAGACGTGGCACCGTGTGAGAGAGGTCTCAAGTCACAGGTTTTGGCCGCCACCCGTGTTTTTTTATGTTTTTGGCCACATGCGCCACAGAGCTGCCCTTTTTGGGTCAGGTTAACTAAACATGGATGGGGTTTCAGTTTGGCTCTCGTTGACCAGTGGAATGAATCTACTTCTTCCCAAAGGACCGAAAAAGGCCGCCAGCTGTTCTCCGAACGGCTGCATGTACGTGCGTAAGTCGCTGTCGGTGTGCGTGCGTTTGTTTGTTTTGGGTTGAGGGTCCGAGAGTCGCAGCGGAGCCACCATCATAGCCCCATACTTGGAGGATGGGAACAGTTTTAACAATAAATGAGCGAGATATCTACCCGTTCAACATGTTTTGTTGTTTGTTTGTTTCAAAGCAGGAGCACCCTTTTCGAATGGTTTTGGAGGGAACCAAAAGGACACAAGCTACCTGGAGCGCCCCCTAATTTTGTGAAAGACGCATTTGTTTACTTTGATTAGAGTGGGGCGCGTTAATACTAGACTGGTACCATCATTGTGACTCAGCTATCAGCACTCGGCGGCAGGCCCTTGTGTCCATCAATACAAAGCTGGAGGCAGACTTACGGCAATACTGCTGTCCGCGCGCGTTCCCTCTGCAGCGCTGCAGAGTCAGGGTCCCTGAACGGATAATATGTTAGTGTGTGTGTGCGTGTGCGGTTGCATTTGGAATTGGTTTAAAGGGGAACACGTATTTTTTGGAGGGGGTCCCCCATTGTGACACATACCCACTTGTGGGGTGGGTGGGTAGTTCAAAAGTAACCTCAGCAGATTTACAGGATCCACATCTTTGTATTGGTGGTTGTTGGATGTATTTTTCTACCGGCGCCCTATTAACCTTTTATTGGGAACCCCGGGATTCGTTTGCTACGCGCAAACAAGAGGCTGAGCTGCCCGAATCGGGGGTAATTTGCCCAGAGAAAAATACGCCCTTGAATAGACGGTGTCCCATTCAGAGGGATGTTTGACCCATGTCAAGCATGCAAATCAGACTGTCGGAAGCACATTTGCAAAGTTCATGCAAGATGTCATTGTTTCGCGAAGAAGTGCTTGTCACCCCTTACATCAACCGGCCTCACCAGCTAGCCCGGCCGCACATCAGCGGTACCATGCATTTCCACAAGCATTGTTTGCCTGAAATTTGCTTGGGTTTGCACGCGTAGATAAGCATGTGTAGATGGTCACGAGGGAATTCGCGGTTGCCGTAGGCTTGCCCTAGCTAAAAGCAGCGTTAAGCCATGTCCCCGTTGCATGAAAGTGCAAGGCACACGGAGGATGTGCGTGTTTGTTGTGTGTTTGGAACCTTTGCTGATTCACGGCGCAATAGCATACACATGAAATGATCCCGGTTGCCGACTGGTCCCATTTGGGCTTCTTCCGGAAAAAGTACGCAAGGCTCGAATCCGGATGGCAGCTTGTTGTTGAGACATCCTGGTTTGCGGTTGTTATGAGAGCTTCATTCGCATAGTGTTGGCTCCTGCAGTTGAGCTTTTTTGGTTATACCTGGCCTTGACTTGGCGAATTTTTTCACAGCCCTGAATGCGTCTATTCAGAGCCGGCGGCCGGTTCTTGGATTTTGGGCACCCCTTTCTTTGTTGAAGGAAGCTAAAAGGAAGCCAACCATTGGTGTGGTTCTTCATGTTTTCCCTTTTCCGAAAAGCACCTGAAAAGGCACAATGCTTCTTTCCATCACGTACCATTCCAGCCGTTCTACAGCTGGCTTTTGACGGATCCCCTTAAGCCAATGCTCCTTTCTACATGAGCAACGGCCAATGTTGCCTGGGTCACACTCACCAAATTACTGTTAGGACTTGGGGTTAGTCACCAAATTTCCATGTCAGTTGGGGACACAATAGCTGAGTTGTTCAGTGGCACCCTTTTTCCCTTTTTTTGGTGGCTTCCCCACTAAAAATGGTCTTCCCAAAAAAGAGTTCCCCTTTTTTCCCAGGGTCACTGAGCCACTGAGATAAGTCTTGGCCTTGCCTCAGCCTGTTTCACCTTGGAGGCGTTGCCTGGTGCCGTACCAAAGGACGTTGCAGAGAAGGCGCTGGCACAGTGTGCTGGATTCTCCAGCGCCAAGTTGCAGAAGCTGAGCTGGGAGGGGTGAAGGGCGTTTCTCAAGATGGGGAACCTGCATGGCCATGGGTCAAAACCAATGGGATGCCATTTTGGGGTAGGTGCACCACCCACTTTAGTCTACTTTAGTGGGGATTGGGATGTTGGGGTTTTGACCCATGGCCATATGAGTGTCCGACAAAATGATCGGCAGTCTTGGGTAGTATTCGGGGAAATCGGCAAAATACCGCAAAACTGATGTGGGACCACCCCCCAAACCGATACCCCCTTTTTAACCGCAACACACAGAATGCAGACAGGGGACCGCCCAACTTCCTTATGACATTGAATTTGATAACTAATGTTGCCCGCTACTCACACGCTTTCCCGTGTAAGCTTTGTAGAAGCCCATGAAAACCATCCCACAAGTGGTCCACTACTTTGAGAAACCTGCATATGGTTGATGAACATTTGGTCACAGGTCCACTTTCTGTACCTCAGAAGGGTTATTTTTCACTTTGGCATGGTCTGGGAGGGGTGGCTTGCTTGCATTTGCATGTTAAACCTTTCAACCTTTCAATGGCTTTTGCATCCCACTGCAAACAGTGCGGTTTTTGCCAGGGGTCAAAGCTTGCGCGAGATGCTTTGCTCTTTGAGTTCCCGCGGTAAGCCATGAAACCAGATTCAGCGCCGGGGTGTCAGCACTAACCCAGAGTGGACAGCGCGGATTGTGTCCACCATGTCCACCAAAGTAATATACACCATTCTCCATATGATGTTTTGCGTGTGTATAGTGTATGGACGGAGAGCTGACCCGCACGTTGTACCCCATTGAGTGTGAGGATGTAGGTATATGTCAAAATAGGGGCACCCCCAAACTGGGCGGCTTCCTAGTTTCGCTTTAAACCACCAAAAACACATTTGGATACGGGAACCATCTCCCCAAAACGCAGCGCCATGTTTTGCCTCCTTCTTTGGATAGTTGATTTTGCAGGGACATCCCCTCCCAAAGAAAAAAGGCGCTGGAGATGTGAATCAGCTGAGGAAAGGTTTCCCGGGGCTGCTCCAGAAGGAGGGCCTCCCTATTCTTGAGCAGCTGCCGCTTAGACAAATGATGTTGTTTCTCGAGGGAGGACTCGGCCCTATGACAGATGCGATGCTTCATTGTGGCTTTGTGGCTTCCTCTCCCTGTCAAAATTCAGCCAAGAGGGGATCCGCCATTTCGAGAAATGTGTGTGTGTGTGTGTGCGTTTGTTTTTTTCAGGGTGCCAGTTTTTAGGTTTCTTTCAAAGGGACAACGAAAAAGCAACGAAGCCCATTTGGCAAACGCAGGTGGTAGGCACATTCCCAAACCAGGTCCGACCAGGTTCCATGTTTGTTCGTAGGACCTTTTTATGCATTCTGTTTACATCTCCCGGAGGTGGTGATTTCCTGTCATTTGTCTAAATCGCACAATAAGAGGTGTCCCAAGTTTTGACCATGCGACATGCTTGCGTCTCGTTTGATTTCTTGATGAAAGCCTGGATAACGTCATTCCCACAGTATTTGCCGTATAAATGTTTGCATGGCTTTGGTTAATTACCCCCCTCCCCCTCCCCCCCGATGATTTCTCTGAAGCAACTGCAAAACTGGTTGTGTTGCTCTATCGCAAAAGGGGGGGCGCTGTAACCAACTAGAAGGGCACTTTCCGTTCGGCTCCTTTCAACGTGGCTTTTGCAATTTGTGGGGGCAGAATCCAAAAGTCATTCCTGCAACTCGTGCTTGCCCGGACGAGACACACCAGAATGGCCGTTGAAACGCCCGACCCTCCGACCCTGCCTTGGCCGGACATCTTCCCCCGACGACGCCCCCCGACGCCCAGGGTTTTGCTTGTCCAGTCATATACTAGTCAAAATGACAAGCATTGGTACAGAAAAAACTTGCAGTCGGGTGAAAGTATATGGGACAGTTCCGTCATATTGGTTTAGTCATCCCCTTTACTTGCCCACGCGGGAATTTCCCAACATGTTGGACCCCCCTGTTGGTTGGTATTAAAAGGGAAACTCTCAGGCAACCCTTCCCATAGGCGCCATGCTTTTTCTATTTGGAGAGCTTCTCAAGGTCGATTCATTCTCCTGCTGCTTGGTCGCCCTTGTTGGTCCCATGTTGTTCCCGGCGCGCCACGCCCGGCGCAACGTGGAGGCAGGCGCCGGCCGCGTGCTTCGACGCCCACGGGGCGCGCCTGGCCGCCTGCGCGGAGGCCACCTGGGAGCCGTTGGCCCCGCAGCTGGTCAGGCTCACGGCCCAGGCGGGTCGAGCGGGCGTCGGGCGAGCGGAGTGGGGGTGAAGGCAAGGAGACGGTAATAGCCATAGGTGTCCTTTTTGGTTGGTTTGCCTAGCAAAATAGAAGGCCCTGGGTTACCTGGTGGTTCAATCATCTACCAGGGAAATCCATCTATTTTCAACAAACAAACCTATGCGAACAGCGGGTTTTTCGAGTTGGCGCCCAAGGGCGCCTTTTTTTTCCCGAGCTGGTTTCCTTGGGGTTTTGGGGTTTCAGGGTTTTGACGTCGAACGAGTGTGAGACCAAAAGAAAGCCGCAATCTTTCAGGTGGTCCTGTGACACGCCTAGGGCCTTGTGACACACATAGGGCAAGCAAATGTGAGGAAGCCATTGTAAGCCCCCAACAAAAACAAGGGGTGCGGGCTTGGTTTAGAGGAAAAAGGAGAAATGGGAAGACTATTCCTGGGGCAATGGGGAGTGGGCTTCCTTTGACCAGCCATTCAGACAGTAATTACTTTGGAGGATGACAGAAATCCTCCAGCCCTAAGTCAGCTGTGTCTTTGCGCGTTGGACACTTGGTTTGTTGGATCTTATGATTAATGCTGCTTGGGGGTCACGTCCCTCATTTAAATTGCCCAAGTGAGCAATCCGTTAAAGACTCAAAGTCAGAGCTCCTTCAGGAAGTCCTCCAAGATTCCAAGAACCCTAGCAACAACAAACCCGTTTTTGTTTACCGGTGATACCTAGGTGTTCTCTCGGCGAATCCCCACCCCTAACTCAACTAATGCATGGAAGGGGTCTCGGTCCATATTCAAACAGGAGGCATTTTCTTGTCTCCATTGCCCATTGAAATAGGGCGGGGGCTGATTTCCAGTTGGGGTGATCGGACTATTCCCCCCCCCCCCCCGAAGTAGGGGCCCAAAGTGGGTTTCCCCAAATGAGACGTCTATCAAAAATGGGTTGGGGGGTTTCATGGCTGGTTTGTGGAGGATTGTCCCCCGTAAGGGACGCTCCTCCGCCAAACTTTAGGGGGGCTGGGGTGGGGATGAGGCAAAAGACACCAGGTTGGGTTAAAAGAACATTGTCTACTACTACATTCCTCACAACCTCACAACAACCAGAGCACTCACAAATTATCCGATGTCCTGCAGGGTGACCGCATGGTTTGACCGCGGCTCACATGTTGTTTCTTTCTTCATACCATGGATGGGCAAAATCCTGCACCAGCTGGTAGGTGGTTTGCCACACCCCAGCATTTATAGGGTCCCAAGTAGTGCAGGACTTTCTCCATCCACAGCAGGGAACCCTTGAACGTACTGCACATGATGTTCACCCTTTGGAGTCGCAAATGAGAATCAGACAGTTGTTGTTCGTTGTTGTTTGCTGTTTGCTTTTTGTTTTGTGTGTGTGTTGTTGCTTGTTGTTGCTTGTTGTTGTTCTCTTCCTAGAGGTAGACAAACAGAGAAGAAGGATCTCCGGTTCCGGCCCGAGGACGGTTGCAGTGAAGTTTTTTTGGCCGGGGTTCCGCCGACCTCTCTGTGGCTAGTTACAAAGTCCACGCCAATCGTTGCACGAGTTGGGATTGGCGTGTCCCAGACAGTTTCATCCATCCCCACTGGTGCAAGTCCTTTTCCGTCCAGACAACCCTGGGTAGTCCGGTGGAACGGCCAAGCAACTGACGACTTGGAGACGCTCTGATTTCATTTTGGCTTCCAGACGATTCGCCTCTACTGGGCTGAGCCCCACACACCTTCAACTATATGACCTAGCCGTGTAAAGAACTAAACAACGACCACAATTTTGGGGGCATAAGTCTCAAGTGGATAGCAGAAATGCTGATCATTGAGCTGGATGCTCAGAATGCACATGGTCGGTTTGCATTTTGGGGACACCTTGGATACCTGGGTTTGCGCGCACTGTGCCATGTTCAAAAGACGGGTTCCTATGCTTGAGCGTGCGGATGGTCATGACCCATGATTGTGGGAAACGGGAATTTAAAGTGTTCACTTTCAGTGATTTGAAGGAAAAAAACAGTAGTCATAAGTACGGCTCACATTGGTATCACAGAAACTTGTTTTCCGCAACCATGTCATAGTCCCTTAAGGATATGTTAGCGGGCGTTTGAAACAGAACGGACACATGTTTGAAAACCAAAGTAACATGTCAGAAGGTTGGGTTTGCCATATTGTTCTTGCTGTTGTGGACAACTTGGTGTTTTTCTTCCAACAGAGTTCAATGAACAGTTTATTAGAAATTAAACGCATATGTATAGCAGCATTAAGGTACCAGTTCAAGTACAGGTGTTGTCTTAAGCCAACGTTTAAATAGGAATTCCTTTCAAGCGATTAACGTTTCCGAAACTATATGTTAATCCAAAATAGATAAGAGAGCCGTGTGGTTTCTTCTAGTTGGCCCGCCCTTAATCCGAGTCGCAAACCAATATTAGCTCAAGGACTATGCCATTTCAGTTCTATTAATTCAAGATAAAATAGAACCTATATAATCGAAACATGTTCCTATTCAAATGTTATACCGTCAAAATCTTTGGAAAAGAATTTCTATCTAAGTCCTAACTCGCGCATTTCCAGTTTATATATCATGTTTAAATCCCAAGTACAGATCAATTAAATTACATGTTGATGTCCTTGTTATATCTTCCACTTCGACATAAAATTAAAGTTTAGTCAATTTATATTTGGAAAGGATAGTTACTCAAAGTTTAGACTGAAATTATTATTGTTAATTGAGGTTGGAAGCACATGCTCATCAAACTCCTTTGGACAGGAGTTCTATTTCCACTCTAACTCAAGATTGGACTTGTTTGGTTGTTTATTGAATTTTGTTCAATTGTTAGTTGGAATCTCAAACATACATATGGACAAGAGCTCCCATTTAAAGCCTAGTGTAAGAGAAATCCCGTGATTTCATCGGTGTCCAAGCCGCAGGCCCCATGGCGTGCAGCATGACTGTGACCCGCATTACAGGTTTCGATGGTACGAGTAGCAAGAGAACTTCCATGAAATGTTTTGGCAAGGGCATTTGATCCGCAAAACCCGGGTAGATGAAGGTTAGTAAGGGGCAGTCCCAGCCAGAAATAGCTGCGGCCGCCTTCTTAATTCTTGAAGCATGGTTCCGGGTAGACCATTTTAATGCCGGGTTTTGATTGCGACTCATTTGTACCTGAGCTGCCCTGCAGGTGAGTTCGCATATGGTGAAGTTGCAGATGCAGCCCCTTGCCTTGTTTTGATGCTTTGATGCCATACGGTATGCACGTGACAATATGGTTGCAGGTCTATTGTGGACTTGGGGGGGTAACCTCAATTCCCCGCAGAATACAGGGCCCCCCCAAGTTCTTCTGAGGGAATTGAATATGCTCATATTACAACAACCTGACATACGCGCAGGACGTGTGATGTCATCCATGAGTACTACTGCCACAGTCCCTTCTCCTGGACATTTGCAGGGCCCGCCCTATACAATCCACTTTTCGCTCACCAGGTTTGGCATGTTTGAGCTTCAGCCTGAAAACCGAGGTGCATAAGCCTCAAAAATCCCACAGTTTTGCAGTAGTGCGGCAGCTGCGTCCTTGTGCACCCACGCGGCGCATTTGAGGCAGGCTGTGGCGGAGCTGGCGCAAGATAACTTTGACGCAGCCATCGCTGCGCTCCAAACCCTACAGAACTGGCGCCTCGGCAACGGAAACTAAAGGAACACCAAATTTTGTGTTTTTTTTCCTCGGGGGGTACCCCTATTTTGAGACAAACCCAGTTGAGCACCCAAAACCATCGGACATTTCCATGGTTTTTACCTGAAGCACTTGGGTTTTCGCGCGAATGAGCCAAACATCTTGGGCGTTTGGGCGCTGCTCCGTTGTCCGAAGTGGTTCGACCCGTTTTGAACGTTTAGATTGGTCCCATGGTTTACCCGTTTTTGGCCCCTGTTTGGCCCATGTGTTTGGCCCATGCTTTGTTTATCCTTTTTGGCCCATGTTTTGTGAAGGTCTCAAAAGGTTGCATGTCTAAAGGCCCTTGAACTAACAAAGTACATGGAGAGATCGCATGAGCCTCTCGCGAATGATACTTTGTGCTGCAGGGCGGCCGTGTGTTTCTGTTGCACTTGCACAGAATGATATTCAGCAAGCTGCTTGCTAGCAACTTGTTTTATTCATGATAATTGCCCTCATTCTTTAAGACTGCAAGTAAGTATTCTCAACGCGCTGCAGTATGGTGGTTGAAGCATCGCCTCACGTGATGGGACTGAGGTGGCCGCATTCCGAAGGAAGCGACGACCGGCCAGGGCTGCAGGAGCCAGAAAGCCAACTGACCGCTTTAGGTTTAAATCTGATTGTATGAACTCTATATGGGGGCTGATCAGAAGGTCCTTTGCATTGGATGACCATTGTGGGCAAAACCACGAAAACAAGTTGATATGTCCCACGAAAGGGCCAATAATATTGATCGGACCTCCCAATATTGTCGAGAGCGCATGGGCAAAACAAGCTTACTATGGTCCTGTAACCCCTGCCGCGAATAACACGCGGGACCCCCACCCGCCCCCTGACGGAAGACCCCGGCTTTGGGAGTCAAGAACTGGGTTTGAAATCTAGGGAGGTCTACCAAAAGGAAAACACTCCCAGAATGCATTGTTAAGTATGGGATGTACATAGGATTAATGGTGCACTTGGTTTGCTTTCCTGGACTTTGTGTGGACTTTCTTTAGAACTGGCTTCAGGGTTGCCCTTACTACGACGGGGGTTGGACCTGGCGGGACATGCTGGTAGTTTAGAATTGGTTTAGTATTGGTGAGTTCTAGTTTAGTATTGACGGATTTTGGGCAGTGGGAGAACAACGTTTTACTGCTTTGGCAAAGCTCTATCAATTATTGGTGAGTGTTGCTTTCTCATTTCAACCCATGGGTATTTGCGCCCTGACTTGAAGCCACAACTAGTGGCGAATTAACCAATAAAGTAGAGGGAGACCAGGGGTGTCATACATTCAGCCTTTGGCATGCCTTGTTCTGCTCTGTCAAAGGCGATCAAGCCTTTGAATGAGTTCATGTAGAGCTTGGCTGCAGGACCAACGACAGAAGAAGCATCTTTGCGGGGTGGTGTTCGCAACTGTTCAATGTGACTGGTACTTTGGACAGGGGTTACTAAAAGCATTAATTCTCAATGGTCAACTTGAGATGCTTTGTTGGAAAGGCTGAATCTGAAACCAGGCGAGAAGTGAAGGGTAGTTGTTTTCCTTGTTGTAGTCTTTGTGGTGTCGCACCACAGGATTACGCATGGCCCCATTCTGAGCCCAAGTGTCAAAGAAACTGTGTCGGCGTGCCACCTCGTTGAGTGACACAGCGCCTTTCGGCAGAAGCTGTGCCTCCAGGAGAGCATCGCCAAAGTCTTCGCCCTTGCTGAAGAGCGGGTGCTTGCTGCAGGTGACCTCCCTGAGGTGGCGGGACAGCTGGACGCGCCTTGGCGGGAGTTGCGGGCAGATGTGCTACACAACAGCGCACAAGCTGTCATACTACTTATCTTGGTGCTCCCCAGCCATGCTCCTGGGTTTGTTCAGACTTAAGATATCTTCCAGGGCTATGGTCCCAGTGAGCGGGTGTACAACCCTTGGGTACGCCCGAAACGCGGTACAGGACAGCCCTTGATTGGAACTTCTGAGTGCAGGCATTCATCATGTTGTAGCCTGTGTCCAATATTCGCTTAACGGACCCTAATAGCCAAGGTTGGTGAAAGATTGAGTCTGAACATATCTGTTGGGCCTGCGGCCTCTAGCCCGGTACGCCTCTTTGAAGGGGGCCTTTGCGTTGAGCCATACCTTTGGCAACCCTATTGTAGTTTTCATGGCATTTTCAATGGTTGGGGGGATGTAGCGCCTGTTTTGGAGTTGGACCCCCCAAATCGTTTTTTTTTTTTTTGAACACAATTGGAACAGGAGCCTCCGGGTGGCTCACGTATCCAAGTTGCTGTGGTGTTGTGTGAGTTTTTAGGGGGCTGCTGGCAAACATGGGTCAAACGGATTCCATGCGGCAATCACTGCATGCAAGTTCATCATACACGTACTTCGTGAAACGAGTTGCACCAGAGCGTGCAGGCTCCACATTCAGATCAGATGCGAAGGGCTGGACATTTGGATTGAATAGTACCCGTGGGCTCATGCAACAAAGAAGCTACCTAGGCTGTTTGCTCATGGGCTGCCGAGTCCCGAAGCAGGAAAGTCAGCTTGCCTGGCAAAACACAACGGTAGTGTCTGGTAGTGAGTACCCCTTAGTGGTTTTTGGACTCATGTAAAAAATCACTTCTCATGGAGGGTAAATCAACCAATCACTAAACAAGTGGTTTGGCCGCCTGCTGCTTAGATCATTCTTGACTGGCCACTGCAAGGTTGTCCGCACATCGCTTGCTTTTTGGGTGTGTCAGAGCGGGAACTCCCAAAATAGAAGTTGTCCTTTCAAGGTCTTGTAGCAATTTTATGTAAGACCATGTGGCCATGTGGTTGATGAAGCGATGCCTCGAAGTATGCAATGAAGCGTGCACGTAGCCGCTTGAGTCTCCAGATAGGAAGACAGCCGCGTGAGCAAGCGTGGTTTGCGTGCGACCAGTGCTCGAGGTGGTTCTGGTCCAACTAGGCTCGTGATCAGCACGTGGGGACCAATCACGGTGCTGAAGCGGGTGCGTGGCGAAAGTGCGAAGACTGTGATCGCCAGTTGCAAGGCAAGTACGCGCTGTGGCAGCACCAGCAGTCGAAGCACGGCAAGGACGTGGCTGAAGGGAGTCCAGAAGCGGCAGCAAGAGCCCAAAGTGAAGGAGCAGCAGTTGGACAAGTCTGACAACGAGCAGGAGCCCGCGTCGTCCGAGTCGGAACACGTACGACGCGAGCTATACGCGTACGACTCGGAGGTTGAGCAGGAAGAGCAACGGACGCAGAGGAGCGGGCGTGGCGCCAACTGGACAAGCAGGCGCGCGCTCAGATGGGCCAGCTGGCGGTTGACCAGCAGAAGCAGCTGCGGAACACGTCAGCGTGCCTGGGCGGGCAGTAGCTCGACAGGGGGTGTGACCTTGTTGCGTGTTGTAACTTGCGCGGCAGTTCATGACTGACAGGTAAGGGTGCTGCAAGTTGAGTGTGTGCCCGAGGTTTGGCACGTCTTGCGCGCGCTCTCTTTGTGGAGGACGAGTTGCAGGCGGAGCGCAAAGCACAGCGAGAATAATCGCTAGACGTGGTGTGGGACACACTTGGATTCGAAGCGCCACGCAACGCTATGCAGAATCGTGGCCTCCCTGCACGGCCGTGCAAGCGACCGGCGGCCAAGGAGAAGCGCGGCCTTCAGGCTCGGCCGCGCAAACGACCAGCAATCAAGGACGACTCGCAGCGAAGCTAAAGAAGGCGCCCAAGATCAAGATAAAGACGCAAGACCCCAGGTACTGTAACGGCGCAAAGTGGAAGGTATTCCGCTGTGAAACAAACAGACACAGAGTTTGCAGACCGCTACGAACACCTGTTGCAGCAGAAACTGTGATGTGTGCCTTTGGAAAATGCAGCCAGGTTGGCAACCAACGGTCTTGCATGTTACTTTTTCTGCACGCAGAACACGGAGTTAAATTAGTACAGCACGCAGTACATGCAAACAACAAAATTCATAACGACCCGCAAGACAACAACCCAGATGTCTCTGCGCAACCTGTCACTGCAGCTGCTGCCGCATTTGTGCGCAAGCCGAGCGTTGTCAAAGCAGCCGGTTCTCGCATCTCACACGAGTACAATGACCGAGGAGTTTTCCACAGGGCACCAAAAGTACCGACTGGGAAGAACTCGCGGACGTTGAGACGCCGGACATCGGAGTGCAGGCGCGCGACGGTGTTGCGACCGTGAGTCGAACCTGACTGCAACACCGATTCCAGCCTCGATTGCAGCCTTGAGCATTCGCCCCAATGGCCGCTTCCACACTCTCGCCGGGCTCGATCGTGATGCCAGCCTCACTGCCATACCCTCGCCGTCGCCCGTCCCCACCGCAACGACATTGGAAGCTGGGGACACGCAAGTGCCAGCCACAGAAGCAACAACGCTGCAAAGCACCTTCCAGCTGGATGACCACACCATAGTGAGCGTGAGTGCTATCCTGTTGGACTTACTGGAGCAAGCCAAGGCTGTATCATTGTGACATCGTCGACAAGCAACATTGCCAGCTCCCCACCTGATTATGATTATCACGTTGTATGTGAGGTTGGCTTTTTGTGGGTGGGCGAAATGAAGAAGCTGTGCGATGCCAGGGGATCATATATCCTGCATTGTGGCAGACGACGAAGCAGCGGAGGATAGTGCCATCGCAGGAGGTGTGCGATGTCACATCTGGCACGCCAACGTCCGAAGTATGGCCCCTCAATCGGGAGTCGTACATGTGGGTGGCTCAAGATGAAGCGCATGGTGTGGTTGATCTTCGCAGTGGGTCTGCGTCTCCTCGAGTTCGCAGACCACTGGGAATGTTTTTCGCAGCAGAAGCTGTGATACGCGCGAGCTGAAAACGCAGCTATGTGGGCAACCAGCGTTCTTGCATGCCACTCGTTTCTGAATGTAGAGCACGAACTTAAATGTTACAACATGGACCACATGCAAACAGCATAATCCGCAACGACCTCTGTCAACCGGGGTTTTGGCATAAGCCCCCATGAAGAATAAGTTGGGACACTGTAGGGGCTGGAAAGCGGTTTACTACATTGACACGGCACAGTGATCTGCGATGCAAATTTAGCTTACCATGGCATGTCATTTTATTGTGTGAAGTTATACCAAGTCAAGTCAGTTATGTGTGTCAAACGTATCCTACGCCGTGATATGTCTGGTTAGATTATGCATTTTGCCCACTCCAGCCATCAACACATCCCAGATGATGCTGGGATGCCAGCTTTCTGAGGTCTAGCAGGGCCCCAACCGAGGTCGCGCGGGGGCGCGCCAGAGGCCCCAGAACGACCAGCCGAAAAAGAACAGCTCGCAAGCCAGCCCGGAAACGCAAACGCAACCAAACACTGTAAATAGCAGCGTTTTGTGGCTGGGGACGCGCGCCACAAGGCCCAAGCCAGCCAGAAGCAAAACAAACAGAACATCAGCCCAACGCGCAGCATAGCATTTTTGGACGGAATTTACGATGTTTTGTAGGGCAAGGAACCTGCATCGCCGGCATTCCCGGCAGCGCTTGGCCCGAAAATGAGACTTGCTTAATATTCCTTCGGCCCTCGGAGGCTTTTTGGGCGGAAGCCTTGATGATGAAGACCAAGCCGCGCTGAAGCATCACCCAGGCCCAACCCCAGACCCTGATGATTGCAGCCACATAGCCTAAACCCTGCATATACACGATGTTGCAAAACCGCAAGCCCGAGCTGGTGATGCAGAGACTACGAATTTAGGTTGATTTTCGCAGAGAGAAAACATCATCAGGATTGCAATGACTTCAGTCCAGTTGCATCCCACGCCGGTGCCCCTCTGCAAGCGGCTAGGATGGGAGGCCGAGGGTTGGCGCATTGGCTGAAAGCCAGACAGACCCCCCCTACTGTCAAGGAGTCGTGCCCCCAAGAAAGGGACAAGAGAGGTATTGTATGCCGGGTGTGGCGCTTCTTTCCCCTTGGATGGGATGACAAAGCCATGCGTTTCCTTTTCCGGGTCTTGTTTTGTCCCGTGGTTTTGGCCCTTGTAGCAGAAATTCCAAAAAGGAACTTATGCCTGATGTTAAATCTGGCTTGGGCCTGAAGGAACGAATCGCAGAGCTTGGAGCCTGTTTCTTTTTCCATAGACCAGCAAAAAAGGTTTGAGGCTGGGAAGAGGTTTCCCCTCTTCCATTTTCCTGTGGAACAACTGGGTCCTGCAATAGTGCCCTTTTTCCCTTTTTTGGGGGAAGGTTCCCCTGCTAAAAACTTGGTACCCTTATTCTAACCTCTCTACTGGAGGACCTGGTAGTTTTGTTTGGCGCTGTGGGTCACAACCTATGCCACCATTTTGGGCTGGAGCACCCATGTACCACCTATTTTGAGGTTCACCAGGGGTACAGGGTTTAAACCACGGCGCCTGCGAGGCGATGGGCGCCTCGCTGGGCCTCGACCCCAAGCTCGCAGAGCACCTGGCGGCGCGCAGCGTCGCCGCGCCGCTGGGTTGCTTCGAGGAAGAGCTGAAGAAGGCGCAAATGGCTCGACGCGAGGAAGTCTCACCGATTGCTTCCATTGGTTTTTCCACTTGGTGGATTTTAGGTTCTTATCTTACTCTGGGTTGTTGTTTAATACGTTTTTTTTCTCTTTGTTGGGTCTTTTGGATTGTTTTCCCTTGTTGGTTTTTAAAGGAAATCTATCACAACTGGAATCTAGCAATTCTTTAAGGTGATTATATTGACTGGCTCTAGGTGTTGAAGTCAGAAGTTGGGGGTTGTTTCCCTGAGCCTACCACTTAGGGGGTGACTTTGACTAAAGTTACTAAAGCAATTGGGCCAGATTCTGACCAATTTGAATGCAAAACTGCGCATGGCTGGAAAATCATGCACAGGAAACAGCCATTTGGACTTTTGCGGGGTTAGAACAGGAACTGGTTGAAACTTTGATCAACTGGGAGAGGAACTGGTTCAAGTCAGAAACTGGGGCTTTCTTGAATCCTGTGGCTTGGTACAATTATTTGGCCACAGGAATGTCAGGGTTGCGGACTGGACCTTAGCAAATAAGCCTTTTTCGGGTCCTCAGAAACCACAAAAAACAGTTTGCCAGCTCGCAGATGTTCCCAGACGGTGCTTGGCTTTGCTTTTTGTGTACAATTTTGCTGGATTCCGAGGACCGTATCCTTGGACAGATAGATATTTCTTGGATTAGTTTCTTTGAACCCCTGGTTCTACTTCCTCCGAGCCTCTGAACATTGGTGAAGGATTTCCTTTGGTTTCCCTTTGCCAGTGAGCTAACTTTCCGAACGGGGCTTTGGAGCAACGCCGTCAGCAAAGTTGCCCCATCCGATTAGCTTTCCTGCAGGGGAGGAGTCGCTATGAAGTTATACGAGGGTCAGTTGATGATGTTCTTGCAACCATGATTGTACAAGGTGCACCAACCTGAGTTAAAGTCGTCGGGTTTTGCCTTGTCCTGATCACTTTTGAAATCCTGGAATATAAAACTGTGTCCTGGTGATGAACAGATGATGGCCATTCCCAATACACGTTCATGTCCGTTCTGGCCCAATGAAGCAGTCGCATGTTGTGTGTTTGTACTTGGTGGGTTGCAGAATCTGCTTCCGATACATTGGCCTAGAGTGATCCACCAGTCAAGTGGTTCAGTCTGTGAGAATTGTATGTTTGGATGTGTTTGGAACGATGGATGCCCATACTCACGACATTGCCGTTGGCTATTGCTGTTGCCAGAACCCCCACAGGCATGCTGATGGCAAGATGCATAATGGAAAGGACAAGAACGTGCGCGGTACTGCGAATCACTCTTCAGTTCCAGAGAGCAGATCGGTTCGGAATCATTCGTTTCGGATATTTTTTGCGGCCCACGGAGGGAAGCTCGAGGGGGCATGAGCAACTGACAATCATTTACTGGTGGTCTACTGTTGGTTTGAGGACATGGGGACACAGCCTAATTCCCCACAGAAGACCAAGAGGACATCCCGATTTGTCCATGTTGCTTGGAGGAGCATGGTTGCTGTTGGTGCTCGTATGTTTCAAGACGATGTCAGGATGACAAGAATCTGCAGACCCTGACGTCTGCGGCGCAAGAGCTGGCAGCTGTGGCAGAAAAGACCCTCGGCCTTATTCAGATCGAAAGCGGAATGTCTGCAAAGTCAAGATGGCCCCTTTGCGCTGGTCTTAAGAGAGGTGAAACGGGGAGCAATCCATTTGCAAAGTTTCCCTGTTGATACATTGGAGTTCTGTACCGGCATTTGAGCGCAGGATTCCGGCGGAGGAAACTGATCGGGTCCAGAGCTTGCTGACGAGCTTGGAAGAGCACTTGCTGCAAAAGTGCCAAGAGGTGCTGAAGAGCCCTGACCTGGCGCAAGCACGGGCCTCAATCCTCGCGAAGTGACCTTTGTTTCGTTTCAGGTGGCCAACGCAGGTCCGAGGTGATTACCTTGTATTTAGAGGGATCCTGGCAAGTGAGACTGGATGAGGGCAACTTGCTTGAGGGTTGATATGAAGTTGTTATATTTCTGGACCTCGGCACAAGAAGCCTCGCGCACCCAAGTCAACTTAGACCTGGTTCAGGCCGTTTAGCTGGAGTTGCACTTGCTGATGAAAGCATGTGAGGTCTTGCAAGCTGCACAAGGCTACGATGAAGCACGATGCTCGCTTTGCATCAAGTTGTCACACGTTTTGAACAGTGTCTAGGCAACAAAGCAGCTGTTTGCAGCAGGGAGTCGTCCGAACCTGAGAAGCTTGCCAAAGTGTATTTGTGAGATGTTTGGCATCATAGACATGCTCACGCATTGATTTACTCATGTCTGTCTTGCACTTTTGTGTGTCGACTAGATTTGTTTGGTGTATTTGTAAAAGCTGCCAGACAGCAACTGATGTGTAGCGAGCTGCTACATGAAACATATCCTTCTCAAGCCGCAACGAGTCATTGATCTTACATTCGCACAGAGCCAAATTGGATCCGTGCGGAAACGGGCTGAAAATTAGAACACGGCAAGCAACGAATGAAGGACGCAGCCTCAAGATACTCAACATGGAATGTGAGTAGTCTTTTGTGGACACTTGCGCGATCAGCAACCAGCTTCAGAAAGAAGTCCCATATCAGAGATGAGTTGTGAAAAGGCAGCTTTGCATTCATGTGGCCACGGCGCCAGCAGGGATTGCTTCTACTGAGGACCTAAAATGACGCCGCCTTTGCCAGAAGCGACTGCTTTGCTACCAAGGGTGCAGGCCACTGTCGTCGTGTTGAGGGTAGGCAATCGCAACGAGCTGTTTCCAAAGCAACCTTCCTTCTTTGGAGAGGGAAGGCTATTTCCTGAATCAAGGATTTGATTTTCTCTCACTCACAGCATTGCCAGGCTTCACGACCGCTTTTGCCCTTTTGGATTCCCTGTTTCTCCATTTCACCAGCAGAAAATTGACTTTTTGTCCGGTCGGATCCGTCAGAGTGGAGAGCACAGCTCCATGTCACACGGCACGTGTTCAGCTCGCAGGAGCAGGTGGGCATGAGCAGCCTGCAGCAAGCGAAGGAGGAGCTTGCCAAAGATCATGGCTTGAACCCGGCACCTTGGGCAAGTCGGTGTCGGGTCTTGGGGTAAGTTTGTGACCTCTAAATGTGGGAAGTAGAAATCAACCTGCTCAAGCTCCAGGGTTTTAACCACCGGCCACTGGAGAAGCAGTCAAAACCAGGAGTAGGGGGTGTTTCTGAAAGTTAGGGACCCCTTCAACTAGTTGGTTTCGATTTGGTTTCCTTGTGGTTCCCCTCAAAGCCATTCTAAAAGGACGGGGTCCCTGTTTTGAGACTCTTTTGAGGATACCCTTTTGGGATTGGTTTAAAGGCAGCACAAGAGGAACCCCCACCAATTTGTGGGATCTACTTCAAGAACCATCCACACTGTGGATGGACAAAATCCTGCACCACCTAAGAAACCCTCGAATGATGATTGGCCTGTAAATAAAAACACCCTTTGTCTCAAGGTGGTGCAGTATTTCGTCCATCCACAGTATGGTCAATGAGTCGGGTGGCAGAGTCATCGAGGCTTGGGTCCTCGAGTGCGTGAAGCGAGTTGACCTCTCAGTATTGCCAGAAGAGGCGGCGACTTCGCTGTGGCTCGGAAGCAAACTCGGCATTGACCACTCCTCACTTGGACTACTTAGGGGGCATCTGGGAATACCAGTGAAGAGAAATTCAGACATCCAATCAGAAAGTCAGACACCCGTATGTCAGACATCACGGCGCGGAGAGTCAGACATCCCCGCGCGGAGAGTGAGACACGCGGAGAGTCAGACGACACTCGACGACACTCATCAAGACGCTTGGAATGGGACGCTTGGGACGACCATCCCGGCCGGCCGGGATGGTCGGGACGGTCGACGGGACGAGGTTGGGACGGTCGGGACGGTCGGGAGGGTCGGGACGGTCGGGATGGTCGGCATGGTCGAGACGGCCGGGACGGTCGGGACGGTCGGGACCGGGACGGGATGGTCGGCATGGTCGGGATGGTCGCGATTGTCGGGATATGTTGGGATTGTTGGGACGATGGGACAGGCAAGCCCAAGCGAAACGGAGACAGTCCCTTTAGCAAAAATTCCCGTGCCCTGGGGTTCAGGATTGGTTTAGGGTGGGTTTAGGGTGGGTTTAGGGTGATTTAGGGTTGGTTTGGGGCGGGTTTGGGTGGGTTTAGGGTGGGGTTGGTTTGGGGTGGGTTTAGGGTTGGTTTAGGGCGGGCTTAGGGTTTGGGGCGGGTCTAGGGTTGGTTTAGGGTGGGTTATTGTTGGTTTAGGGTTGGTTTAGGTCGGCACGGTTGGGGCGGTCGAGACCCGCGGAATGGTCGGGACGGTCGGGACGGTCGGGATGGCCGAGACAAGCAAATCAGCGAATCGGACACAGCTCATTTAGCAAAAACATGGACGCAGTTCCTTTAGCCAGGGCGATTGATGTCACCCGACGATGTCCGACTAACGCTTTCCCGTCGTCCGACTTGCCACATTTCGATTCCGACTCGCGTCGTCCCCGATGTCCGTCTCTCTGAGCACGATGTCCGACTACCGTTGTCCGACTTTCCGCTTAGCCCATGGGACTACTAGTTACTTGAAAGGGGTCCAAAAAGCTTGAAAAGAAACGGCGCTTTTGGACGCTTTGGCAGGTCCGCCTGCCTGAGAGCGCTCAGATGAGCTTGACTCAGTTGACACTTGTTAGAAAATGCAGATCAGTCAGCCTACTTCTAGCTAAAGCTCTTGAGTGCAGCCGTTCGCGCAAAACCCGGGTGCGTCAACCCCAAATCCCCAAGAAAACTGCTTGACAAGTTGCTCCTTCATCCACTTGCTTCAAAAGATTTCGCCAGGGTTTTCAAAAGATTGCAACAAGTATGAGAGGTATGCGTGCAGTTGATGAACAGGGGCCTACTAGGGATGGACAAGTCCTACACCAGTTGAGGTAAATGAAACCTTATGAATACGATAAACAATCCACGAAATGGATCTAAATAATGGTGGGTTTTGTCCATCCACCGCCTTTCCTAGCGGCCAGTCTCAAGCTTGCCACTCCCATCAGGGTTGCTGTGACTGGGCTCTTGACAACAGTTTTTGTTGTTTAATAAATAAATAATGATTAAAAAAAAAGGCACTTGGTTTTGGCTCAGAACGTCGGCCGACCAAGCCTTGTGTCAGTTTCCCTGGGCCCTTTCGAAGATCGCACCCCGAGGGTCGAGTCGGGCGGGCCTGAGGCGGGAGATCTCGGCGAAGACCTGCGAGCGCATGACGGAGTCCTTTCGAGAAGCACTGGCTGAGGGCCAGAGTCCCCAGTCGTGGCAGTCGGCCGAGGTGTGGCCTGGGGCAGCTCCAATAAAACGACTGGGGGTTCCCCTTCGCAATGAACCAACAGAAGCGGTGCCCTGTTTTGGCCATGGCCGCAGGTGCAACTGACAAAAGTACTGTGTGTCTACGGATAGCTTGGGGAGGACAGGGGAACTCAAATTGCCCACAAACAGCAGCAAACCTACTCAAGTTTCCCATGCCCTCTTGAGGCAACTGGTAAATTTGTCCAGGTGTTGGGTCGGTTAGAAAACCCCCTAGCAGAGGTTTATCGTCGATGGTCCCAACCCAAACCCACACGGCGGCCTCTACCCTCCCTTGTATTTGCAATACCAGCCGTCTTGAGCCTTAGGCGGGATTCAAGTTTACACAGACCTCCTGTGGGGTCTTGCAGTCCACTCTTTTGTGCAATGCGTGTCATAGCTGTTCTGTTCATGTGTGGGCGAGCCAACTCAAGAATCACCTGGCTTGTGCTCCCTGTTAAGGCTACACGCGCAAGTTCCCAGGCCTTGCAAGGCGAGCATGATCTTTCCTTGGGTCCTATCCCCGACTAACATGGCACCTAGAAGGTCTCGTGAGGAAATCGATTTGCGTGTCCTTCAACGAAGGAAGGGTAGCCCTATATTATATATGCATCACCATTTTGCAAGCAACCCACCTCCAAGCACGACTTTCTGGTGAATTGGTGCAAATCGGGATGTTCAGCTTGTTCCCCTTCCAAACCCACGCTTCTTTTTTCGTCGCGAATTCGAGTACGCGAATTCGCTGGAAATCCTCGGACGATTCCTAGGCCAAGAGGCAAAGACGAAGGGCCTGCGAAGCTTCGCTGAGAGCTTCGACACGGCGGTGAGCAAGGCGTCCGAGTCGAAGGGTTCCGACAGCTTCGAGAGAGACGAGATCCAAAGAAAGCTGAAGGCGGGAGATGCCGGGGGCTTTGTTCGGATGTTTCAGGGCACGGATTTTGAAGGTGTTTGGGGTATTAAAAGGGGGTGTTGGTTCTTTGTTCGATATTGTTTGGTCGCTTTTCTGTCCAAGCACCCTTTGGGGGGCTTTGAAGGGAAAGGCCCGATGCGCATCCTGCTCAGAATTGTTCCCCAACTGGTGGGGATACTTCTCGGGTGTATTCTTGCGGAGCATTGGTCAAGTTAGCGTGAACGCCCGATTGAATCTGCGCTCACCTCGTCCGCTTCAACGTTGAGGAAATTGAGGCAGAGAAGACGGCTGCACATGCTCCGGAGGATGAAGCTCCTGCAGAGGAGGAGACTCCGGCCGCAGATGAAGAGACACCGGCCGCAGATGAGACACCAGCTGCAGAAGAGGAGACACCAGCAACAGAAGAGGAGACACCAGCAGCAGAAGATGAGACACCAGCAGCAGAAGAGGAGACACCAGCAGCAGAAGAGGAAGCACCAGCAGCAGAAGAGGAAACACCAGTGGCAGAAGATGAGACACCAGCGGCGGAGGATGAGGCAACTGCACTGCACTTGAGGATTCCTCCCTCCAACAATCATGGAAGCTGCCAGGAGGGTTTGGCGGACAACTTTCCTTTTGGGGACAGGCTTCCCTGATTGCTTGAGAGATGGCAAAGGTGGTTTGTTTTGTTGTTTTTTTGCGGACCCTAGTGTGATTGTTTGTCGCCTGAAAGCAGTGATAAAGGGCCACTATTTTGTCACCTGCATCAGCCCCAATGGTTGGGAGAGAGAGTGAGCGAGAAATAAAAAGAGACCATGACAGCGACTCAGGCTGCACACTCAGGTACCCAGCGAGGCAGCTTCGAAAGTGGCAGAGATGGAGCAGATGCTCGAGCAAGAGAGCGGCATGAATCCAAACGTGATCCTGAAGAACTTGACGGACTAGCGATGCATATGTGCTAGTGGATGGTGTTTCTGAATGATTCTGGTCAGGGCTGTGTTGCTATGTTTCTCATGTTTTTTGTGGTGAACGAGTGCAGGTGTACATTCATCTGTTGGATTGCTTCCTTGTTACCAGACACCAGCAAGCCGTCCAGGTCGGCAGCATGAAGTCTACCAATATGAGGAAGGGAAAGTAAGCGGTTTGATTTTATTCATCCGGGCAACAAGGGGACATTTGATAAGTTGGGGCAGGAAGGCGCTAGGAGGTTTTGATCTCAAGCGCCAAGATTGGATCTGATGCAGCGTTCCAGATGTCTCCAACCGCTCACTCAGCCGAAAAATATCAATGGCCTGAGAATGCGTTTGAGACTGTTGCTGCGCGCTTGCTGAGTGCATGATGCAATTATCACCAGTGAGTGTCTGTGAAGACCTGCGCATCTTCCCGCGAAGCTTGAAACCAGCATGTCGATCAACCATTACCCGTGCTGAGAGGGGCAGGGTACTTCGTATGTGGTTAGTAAGGCTGGTTATAACCCGCTTGGGAGGCTTATAACTATGGTAAGTGCGGTACAACCAGGCTTACTAACCACTTACCAAGTACCCTGCCCCTTTAAGTGCAGTGCGCACTGCCCCAAACATATCCTCGGCCATTTAAGGCTGAGGCTTTAAGGCTGAGGCTCCGCAGTGACGCAACTGCCTTCCGTAATTCGGCTACTCCCTCCCACGCCAAATACATTCCAACATATTCCGTAATATTCCAACTGTTTTTTTTTACCGGGTGGTGGTTGCCTCCCACATTGGTCTTGAATCATTGACCATACATACATAAGTGTATATATATATATGTATGGGTGTGGCTCAAAATTGAGCAGGAGGGGTTACGCAGGTTTTGGCAGCCATATTAATATATATATATATGTATATTTCATTGTATATATGCAATTCACCAGGAGAGATGATCTCCACATAGCTTTGGCCAATGAGCCGATTCGGGTACCGACTTCCCAGTCACATCGGGCGAATCGGGACTCGGACCCGGGTATGGTGTCAGGACCTCGCGGCGCTTTGGCCACTGCCGCCGCTGTTGCTTGTTTGCTATTTGAGGTTGGCTCAAGCGGTCACTGGATTTGCCCGCATCACACGTTGATAAATTCTCCCGGCTGGTTTCCAGTGAAACTGTTAGTCCATCTATTCTTCGGGGTTCCAAAATGAAACAATCGCCACTTTTGGCGGTTCCAAAGCTAGGTCCCCCAGTAGTGCCCCTTTACCCTTTTTTGGGGGGAGCGTTCCCCTACTAAAATAGACAGAAACAAGTTGGTACCCTGCTTTTCACCTCTCTACTGGAGGAAGATACATCCAAAAAAAGGAACTTGGCTCGGACTCCGGAAACTCCGAGGCTGGGCCGCCTGGGCGCCGTGCTGACGAAGCTGCAGGGCCGCATGGCCAGCGCCTGCGCCAGCGCCTCCGCGGAGGATCAGGAGGCCAAGCTCAAGGCGCGCGGTGGGATGCGGTGAACAGATGGGTGTGGCTCAAAATGAAACGATCGGAGGGGCGGTTTCCGCAGATCTTGGGTTTAACCAGTTTCCACTTGCCAGGGCAACCCATTTTAAAAAATGTGTGACCGGTTTTTTGAGCCACAGCCAGCTGTGGGTCACTTCTGGAACCACGTTGAAGGCGGCTTTGGAATACTCAGTTCAGTCTGCGGCTCGCAGAAGTGGCATGGGATTTTGCTCGACCAAGGCCTGGCGTTCCTTCAGATCACAGCCCAAACGGGGGTCCGCCTAAAGAATTAAAATTGCTGAGTTCCATGAGCATCAAGAACAATAGAGCATGGAAACATCAAGTCTTATTCGGCTACTGCATATGCACTTACTGCTTGATGGCTAATCTATAGTGCCCCTAGAGGGCATTTGGGAAGCAAGATCTCAGCATTTGGAAGATCCTTCTGGTGTCCCTTGTGGCTCAACGGGGATCACAGATTATGATTAGAGCCTTTTGATCCCGCCCTTCATTCAACACAATCTGCAGGCTCCCATTTTATGAACCCAGGATTAAGTTGCTTTACTTGGTTGTCGTCCTTCGGGTTTGCTGCCAAAACGGCACATTTTTTCTTAAAAGGATATTCTGTGAGAGAGGTCCCAACCCCGTGACGGCGCTCCGCTCAACAGTGGATCGAGGCCTTGCTGGCCTTCGCCCACAAGGTCCACGAGTTGCAGCAGTCTATGGACAGCTGCGCGCCCCAGTTCCTCTTTGCTGTGTGTTCCGCTGGGGCGGATCAGGAGAATGGGACTTGGGACTTGGGCCTCGGGACTCGGGACGGGCGAAAAAGCCAAGCTTGTGGGTGAGCTGTCTATGTTGTTTCTCTTCCGGGTGCCTTCTTCGCCGCGTTTGTGGCACCCAATACCGCTCCCAGGTTTCACTTTTGCGTTTGCCTTTGGGTTCCCGGGTTGACTTGTCTGATTTTTAGAGGGGCAGGCAAACGTGAGGTGCTTGTGAGCCGGCGAAGGAAAGCACAGGCCAGCAGCCGTGCTCAATGGCTGCTTTCAGGACCTCAAGGACGCGGAGACGGAGCTGGCAAAGGAGAGCGGCATGAATCCCATGTTGGTGCTCAAAAACATCCGTCACTTGCCTCAACGTTGCTCAAAATAGGATAAACATGCTGGCACTCAGGCATCAGAACCATGTTGCCTTCTGTCAGAACACCCCATGCAGCGCCTGAATTCTGGTCTGCAGCTATGGACACCCTATATCATTCTTGCTCAGCCATGCCTTTCAAGTATGCATGGAGTGCAGAGCCACCACGCGCCGAGCCTTGAACATCCCTCAGCTTTGGTTTCGGTGGCTTCCGCAAAAGATGTTCAACACAGGAAGAATGGTGAAACATGGGTAACAAGATGATCAAACATGAAAAGCTTAGGGTGGAACATTGGTGACGGGTGTCTTCTAATTTCCCTTGAACGGCCAAAGTGTGCCAAACGCCGCCAATCGGTTCTTTGGCGCGGCCCTGCATATGGGAACCCATTCGGGCTCCATGCTTTTCTTGGTTTGGATGTACAGATACATACATATGCATATGAGCTTCGGTCCAAATTACCAGTTTACCAGTAGTCTATGGTCATCACTGGCCTCAGCCTTCCAGTAGCAGTGCCGTTTCGACGGATTAGGGGATCAGGTTTGCCCATGTCTGAGTTTGCCTGTCTGCAATGGACATTGTGATGTGGCAGTTGACGGCGCGGGTCTACTTGGTGGTCTCCTTCACAGGCATGACTGCTGAAGAGAAGCGTCCGGTGGAAGGTGCCCATGAATAACAGTGATGTTCAGTCGCACAAGCTGCCTATTGCGCAGTTTTACACGAGGCAGGAATATTCTTGGCATGGAGCCGATTCGGCAGCGGATGGCGCTCAGGATGGGATGCCACCAAGTTGGTCATATGTGGACCGCCTGAGAAAGTAATCTGCAAGTGCGATGGGGTGTGTCAAGAGACTCTCGTACACGCGTGCAGTGCTATGAAACGCCAGGCGTGTAGAAAGAATTGGCTGCCGGGCCACAAGGAGGCATGCTTGTGAGGATTACTTCCGCGGGTTGCTTAGTGTCTGTTCAGCGCTTGGCGCGCTCTCGCCGTAGGTTGTCAGCTACGGAGCAGCGCACGATAGAGCCAACAGTGGTTCATGTTTGATTTGGGAGGGGCGCGGGTGAACTCGCTATTTGAGTTTCAATAGCGCAGGCAGAGAGGACGAGTCTTAATTCTCCCCTGCCCTTATGGAAAACGTTCGCACTTTCGCCTTTTGCTCAAATGAGATTCGAATTGTCACGGCTCCATGTACGAGGTTCAAACTACTTGCCCCAAGGGGCTTCAAATGGATTCCAGCAATTTCGGCGCCATGCCCCCCCCGAAGACTTGCCTTTCTGGGTGTTGGTCTAAAAATTGGAGCTTGCAACTACTCCCTGTCTCCATGACCCCTAGAAAAAGGGGGGTCACCCCCTGAATGTTAATGAACCATTTTTACAGGCTCATGGAGACAGCTCCAAATGCCAATGGTCCCTCCGAACAGCTCGGGCACTGGCCTTCACTGAGGCAATCTGAAGCTCTACTGGCAGGCCTTGGGCTCTGATGCCGAATCGCTACACACGCGCCTGGGGGCCATGTGTGCCTGGGCAAAGTGGCCCTTTTCGCGCGATGGAGTATAGTGTGACAAAATGGCGCGATGCATTGAATTGTGCGAATTGCAAGTGTCTGCCTGCATGTGTGCGGAGAGTGTGTGTGTGTGTGTTGTGTGTGTGTGTGTGCATGTGCGTGTGCGTGTGCGTGTGCGTGTGCGTGTGCGTGTGCGTGTCTGTGTGTTTGTGTGCGTGTGCGTGACTGTGTGTTTGTGTGCGTTGCGTGCTGTGGTTGTTTCTTGTTGTTCGATGTGTGTGTGTGTGCGTTGTGTGATGTGTGATGCACGTGCTGCGTGTTGTGTGTTGTGTCTTGCATGTATGTGCGGGTGTGTTCTGCGTTGCGCGATGTATGTTATGTTGTGTGTGTGTGTGTGTGTTCTGTGTTGTGTGTCTGCTGAGTCGCACTGCTGAGTGTTTTCTTTGTTGCGCGTCTGCGTGTTTTGCATGTTGTTTGTGCTTGTGCTGTGTTGTGTGTGTGAGTGTTTGTTTGTGTGTGTTTTTGCGTTGCTTGCGTGCGTGTGGTGTGTGTGTGTGTGGGTGTGTTGTGTGTGTGTGTGTGTGTGTCTGTGTGTGTGTGCTGGTTGCGCATGTGTCTTTTGTGTGTGAGGGTGTTGTTTTTGTGCATTGATGTGTGCTTTGTTCCGTGTGTTGCGTACTGTGTTGTGGGTGCGTTGTGTGCTGTGCTGTTGCGCTGCCTATTTTGTGGTGTGTGTTGCTGTGTGTTTGTTGTGTGTTGTGTGTGTGTGTGTTGTGTGTGTGTGTGTGTTGTACGTTGTATGTGTGTGTTGTACGTTGTATGTGTGTGTTGTATGTTGTATGTGTGTGTTGTGTGTGTTGTGTGTGTGTGTGTTGTGTGTGTGTGTCATGTGTGTGTGTGTGTTGTGTGTGTGTGTTGTTTGTGTGTGTTGAGTGTGTGTCTGTGTGTTGAGTTTGTAAGTGTGTGTGCGTGTGTGTCTGCCGATGTGTTCCTGTGTATGTGTGTGCTTGCGTCTGTCTGTGTGTGTTTGTCTGCGTGTGGCTGTGTGTCTGCATGTGCGTTTGTGCGGTGTGTGTGTGTGTTGTCTTTTATGTTTGCGTTTGTGTTTGTGCTGGATGTTTTTGTGCGTGTGTGCGCAATGGGTGTGGTGTGTGTGTGTGCGCGTGTGTGTGATGTGTTTGATGTGTCTGTGTGGTTGTGTGTCCGTGTGTCTGTCTGTGTGTTTGCGTGTGTGCATGTGTGTGGGTGTGTGGGTGTGCGTGTGGGTGTGGGTGTGTGCGTGTGCGTGTGCGTGTGCGTGTGCGTGTGCGTGCGCGAGTGCGTGTGTGTGCGCGTGCGCGTGCGCGCGTGCGCGTGTGCGCGTGCGCGTGCGCGTGCGCGTGCGCGTGCGCGTGCGCGTGCGCGTGCGCGTGCGCGTGCGCGTGCGCGTGCGCGTGCGCGCGCGTGGGTGTGTGTGGGTGTGTCTGTGCGCTTGTGTGTGTGTGTGTGTGTGTGTGTGTGCGTGCGTGCGTGCGTGCGTGCGTGCGTCTGTGTCTGTGTATGTGCGTTGTGTGTGCGTGTGTGCGTGTGTGCCCTTATGCCGTCTTGGTTGCGTGTGCGGGTGGGTGTGGGTGTATGTGTGTGTGTGTGGGTGTGTGTGGGTGTGTGCATTTGTGTGTGTGTGGGCGCGTGTGTGTGATGTGTGTGATGTGTATGATGTGTCTGTGTGTGTCTGCGTGTGGCTGTGTGTCTGCATGTGCGTTTGTGCGTTTGTGCGGTGGGTGTGTGTGTGTGTTTTCTTTTGTGTTTGCGTTTTTCTTTGTGCTGGATGTTTTTGTGCGTGTGTGCGCAATGGGTGTGTGTGTGCGCGTGTGTGTGATGTGTGTGATGTGTGTGATGTGTCTGTGTGTTTGTGTGTGTGTGTGTCTGTGTGTGTGTGTGTGCGCTTGTGTGTGTGCATGTGTGTGTGTGAGTGTGCGTGTGGGTGTGTGGGTGTGCGTGTGGGTGAGGGTGTGGGTGTGGGTGTGTGCGTGTGTGTGTGTGTGTGTGTGTGTGTGTGTGTGTGTGTGTGTGTGTGTGTGTGTGTGTGTGCGTGCGCGTGTGCGTGTGCGTGCGCGTGCGCGTGTGCGTGCGTGTCTGCGCGTGCGCGCGCGTGTGTGTGTGTGTGTGGGTGTGTGTGTGTGTGTGTGCGTGCGTGCGTGCGTGCGTGCGTGCGTGCGTCTGTGTGTGTGTGTGCGTTGTGTGTGTGTGCGTGTGTGTGTGTGTGTGTGTGCGTGTGTGCGCTTATGCCGTCTTGGTTGCGTGTGCGGGTGGGTGTGGGTGTATGTGTGTGTGTGGGTGTGTGCGTGTGCATTTGTGTGTGTGTGTGTGGGCGCGTGCGTGCGGGAGTGCGTGCGAGCCGGCGTGCGTGCGTGCCCGTGTGTGTGTGTGTGTGTGTTGTGGGTTTGTGTGTGTGTGTGTGTGCGCATGCGGGTATGTGTGTGTGTGCGTGCGTGTGTGCGTGCGTGTGTGTGTGTGTGTGTGGGTGTGTGTTTGTGTGTGTGCGTGTGCGCGTGCATGCGTGCCTTCGTGCGTGCGTGCGTGCGTGCGTGCGTGCGTGGGTGGGTGGGTGGGTGTGTGTGTGTGTGTTTCGTGTGTGTGTTTTTGTTTTGTGTGTTTTGTGTTGTTTTCTTGGTGTGTGCGCGTGCGCAACTTTCCCGTGGATAGTACTGCGCAGGAGGGAAGCATTCCAGCCACAAGGGAAACAAGAAACAATTTATGGAGAGGGGGCCACCTTTTTCCGAGTTGTGTTTTGAAATTCCCATGACACCACAGAGTCTGTGAGTTGCTTTTGGCTGCTTTGAGGGGACATTGGCATGTTTGCCCCTAGGGGGTTGATCTTGCATTTGCGGGGCAGCATCACTGATGTCTGCAACCAGATTGGACTCATCCCTGATAAGGCTGCGTGGCTGACTAGTCAACCAGACGATGAATGCAGATCCTGACATGTGTGAAAAAAATCGAGACCCTTTGTTTTCGAATGGCAGGAACATAGCAACGAATCATGGTTGTTGTTGATGATTTAATGTGTTTTAGTCTGGCAGTCGTGGGCTACATTTGTCAAGGCCGGCGTGGTTACTTTATGTTTGCCAAATTGCTCGGGAAGTGAAGAAATCGCCCTATTTGGGGGGGTCCCTCAACTAGTTGGTTGATGTGCTGAAATGAAGTTCGCCGAAATGTCCAGCCGATCCACTTGCTTGATCCAAGGTGACCTGATGCGATCACGGATCACGGCTTCCTATGAGCAGAACGAAGAGAAACGACCCAACCTCTTGAAGTTTTCAGCGGCGTTTGACGCGGACACCTGGCAGCAGAGGTCAGAGGTCCTCCTGGCATTCTACTGGAAAATGGCCCAACGCCGTGGTATTTTGGTGGGTGTTTGGCAAACTTCTTGTAAGCCTTCCTCTAGCTGGTTTCCATGAATCTCAAGTTCTACATGATTTAGAGACATGGCTGGAGAGAGGGCAAACAAAAACAACAATACCATCAATGAATGAAACAATAAACTACGTAAATCAATGACTAGCACTCAATAAGATAACTTGCTTGAACGGCAAGTAGCATTTAAGAGAGGCATTCATCACATAGCCTACTCTGGATGCACAAATTCCTGCACCAGTTGGTAGGTGGTTTATCGCTTTGAAGGAGTTCATCTCAAATGGTGCCTGGCGGGATTTTGTCAAGTCGGCCCCGGGTAACTATTCCGTCCCAGTCGGAAGCTTGAGTTGAGTGCTGGCAGCAAATGATACATCGCATATTCCTTCCATAAGCCCGACACTGCTCCAACCATCTGGAAGACTTTCCTGCTGAAGCCCACTTCACTTCCACTTGGATCCCCCCGACCCATCCCCCCCTTCTCCCCACCCAGACTCGCACTCCCCGCACCCCTTCCCCCCCCCCCAACCCCCACACCCCCCAACCCCCCCTGACCCCCCCTGACCCCCCCCCCAACCCCCCCCCAACCCCCCCCTAACACCTACCAAAGGCCAGGCCCCAGTTAGATAAAATCCCCTCAACCGACCAATTCACATAATATTTGTTCATCATTTCATAACAGAACCTCAACTCAAGATTTGATACATAAATTTTGTAAATATTTTTCTAAATTTTCAAAAATATTATTTTACAAAATTATCATTTTTCCGAAGAAATATAAATCATAAATTTTACAATATTCTTATTGTAAAGTTCATGGTTAAAATTTAAATCATATTATTTCATAATTTGAATAATTGCAGAATTCCTCACGGAATATGCTGAAATGAAATAATTTTCCAGAAAGGGTAATTCACCTACAATTTGAAAAACCTTGTCCTTCACTTCCTCCATTTCCTTTTTGACCTCTGGTGCTACTGGAGGTTTTGAATTTTCAATTTCATTAGGTTTTTCTTCCTCAACTGTTGTTTTTACTTTATTCTCATTCTCAATATGCTTCAATGTTTTCAAATGCTTGGATATTGCAGATTTCCTCACTTTACACTGGCAAATATCACATTCTATTTCAATCTGATTACGCACTTTATTATATTCCTTTTTCTTTTCCTTCCTATCAATTTTACTTTGTTCTCGGCAGTAATCACAAATATGCACTCTAACATTAAATAGGTCAGGTGGATAAGTGTTTTCACATCGCCTACATTTTTGCATTTTGTCAGTCATCTCCATGCTACTATTGATAGGTGGCATGTCTTTAAGACCAGACCATCTTAAAGATCCCAAATTCCTAAAATATATTTTCCCAAAATCCCAAATCCCAAAATCCCCATAATTTCAAAACATAAATCTTACAATGTTTTTTTATTGTAAGGTTTATGGGGTGTGTTTTTCTCTGCTGTGGTCTCCGGAATGGAGGCAATGAAGCTCTGATAGAACTCCAGAAATTCTTCATTGGACGCATTGTGTTTTGTCATTTGGCGCATTGTGTTTTGTCATTTGGCGCATTGTGTTTTGTCATTTGGCGCATTGTGTTTTGTCATTTGACGCACTGTGTTTTGTCATTTGGCGCATTGTGTTTTGTCATTTGGCGCATTGTGTTTTGTCATTTGACGCACTGTGTTTTGTCATTTGGCGCATTGTGTTTTGTCATTTGACAAATTTCTTTTGTAATTTGACGAATTTCTTTTGTAATTTGACGAATTTCTTTTGTAATTTGACGAATTTCAATTTGTCATTGGATGAATTGTTTTTTGCTTTCAACCCACCAAACTCGTCAAAATCTCACAAATCAATTCAGCAGGTATTTTGTATAAATCTTCCTGCTTATGTATTACATAATTATCCCCCATTCTGCTTTAGTTTTTGATGGCAACTGTACCAACAGAACCACTGCCTAAAAATAATTCTAATAAATTCATATTGTTTATTAGAATGATTTAGATAATGTTTTAGAAATATACATATTTATCATCTTCCTTAATAATCTTATAGTATTCTAATGTTTGTTCTTTTGGACTTTTGATTTGTCCCTTATTTAACATATCACAATATTTTTTACGCTTCGTGTCATAATCACCGCTGGGTCTGCCTATCCCTTTCTTTTCAAAGATTTTGTCAATCTTTTCCTTCTCTTCATTGTTATCTTTTGGTTCGTTTGCCTTTGCATCAAGTTTCTGGTCAATAGTTTTTATCATCTCGTGCAACAGTTTAACATTTTTACTAACTGTCATTATTTTCTTTGATAGTTCAGAAATAGAATCATTCTCAACTTCAGACATTTCTATATATATTTATTTATATAATTATTTATTTAAATATTTAATTATTTATAAAATTGATTTAATGTAAAATCTACTCTTTAAGTACTAAATTTTCATCATTTGTTTAATAGTTTCCTGTGCTTCGTTATCACCATTATCGGATGGTGACGCATGCCTTCCCCATTTAAAAGTTATATTATGGACATCAGTTTCTAAGTTGATACTGTCTTTAGTTTTATCAATATTCATTTTCTTATCGTTTTTACTCAATTTGAAATTTGTCGGAATACACGAACATTTACAATTTCCTTTCTTTTGAATTTCTAATTCGTTCTTCATTGCTAACATCTTTCTACACATAGGACACTCAAACTCAATAACTGATGTTTCTTTAACAATTTCTTCTTCTTTGTCTTCATCTGTTGAAGATACAGCTGGTTCTGTCTTATTCTTTTTAATTTTCTTTCTTCCCATTTATATTAATATTTACATTTTTATTTTTGATATATTGTATTCCTAATTTTATTAATTCTAATGTATAAAAGCATACTTTCTTACATCTGTTGTCAGTTATTATTACTTGTTCTATATTCTCTACTTCATCTATTATATCAATATAATCTGAATAACTTCTATCCATATAAATAATAAGATAAATTATTCTAATTGATCTTATTATTTCATGCATAATAGAATATTGGTGAGGCACAGCACTGGGGTTTTCATTGCACACGCAAGCAAGACACAAAACTAATTATCTTCAATGCTTATTGATTGAAGTTGATGAAAGAGCCTGTTCTACTACGATGGACACCATTCATATCATAGCAATGCTTTCATACAATAAATAATATTAAATTATTTTCTAAATATGTTTAATATTATTTTATTATGCCTGATGTAAAACCAATTGATGAAATCAAATTTGACTTTAAGCAAAGTAAGCACGAGGTCGTCCCTAAATTGCCGATGAGAGCGATGATTGTAGGGCCGTCAGGCTCTGGAAAGAGCACCCTACTTGTATCAATGATACTTGATATTTATAGAGGTGCATTTGAAAGAATTTTTATCTGGTCTCCATCAGTAAATTTGGATAGTATTTGGTTGCCTGTTAAAAAATACATTAAGGAAGGTTTGAAAGTAGATACTGATAAAGAACCGTGTTGGTGGGATGAGTTCAATGTTGAAGATTTAGAAAGAGTTATAGAAACTCAAAATAAAATAATTGAATACCAGAAAAAACAAGGAACGAAGAAATTATTTAATATATTAGTTATATTGGATGATGTATCTGATAATCCAGCAATAACAAGAAATAACAAATTGTTAAATTCTTTATTTTGTAGAGGTCGCCATAGTGGAATATCAACACTTGTCAGTCTTCAAAAATCATCAACCGTGCCACCAATTATTAGAGTAAATATAAGTCATTTGTTTTATTATAAAGTTAGAAACTACAAAGAGATAGAAATATTACAAGATGAATTATCAGCAATTGTTAGAAGCGATAATTTACACGAAAGCAAGAAATTAATTTATAAAATATATGAAACTGCCACTGATGAACCGCATAGTTTTTTATATATTAACCTTTTAGAAAAGAACCCAGATAAAATGTTTATGAAATGCTTTAATCAATATCTTCAAATATCAAACAAATGACATATAAAGATTTGTTATTCATAACATTTAATAGGACTGTATAATGCCAAGAAAGGAAATTGACTACACAAAAACCATTTTTTACAAAATAGTTTGTAAAGACTTGTCTGTAAAGGACTGCTATGTAGGTCATACAACAAATTTTAAAAACAGAAAGAATAATCATAAAACTACTTGTGAGCGAGAAAAAATGAAATGTCATAACGCTTATGTGTATTCATTCATTAGAGAAAATGGTGGATGGTCAAACTGGCAAATGGTGCTAATCAACACAGAAAACTGCAAAGATAGTATAGAAGCATTGAAAAAAGAAAGGGAATACATTGAACAACTCAAAGCAACACTGAATAAAAACACACCTTCTAGGTCAAGTGAAGAGAAACGCGACTACCACACAGAATACAGAGCAAAGAACAAAACCAAGTTATACCAACAAAAAATGGACTACTATTACACACATAAACCTGAAGTGTCAGAATACGCCAAGCAATACTACTTGAGAAGAAAAGAAGACATATTGAGAAGGAAAAAGGAAAAATACGAAAACAACAGAGGTTTCTATTTACAAGAAATGAAAGACTATAGGTTAAAGAAGAAACAGCAACCAGAAGAAACACCTGAAATTATTGATTAAACACATAATTAAATAATTAATTAAATAAATAAATCTATTATATATTATAGAATGTTAAAAATGGTTCAAGAAAGAATGTATGAAGAACCAGTAAGGTTTTTCGGCGACGATATACCAAAACAAATTCAAGAATACCGGAAGCAAAGACTACAACAATTAGTAGAGTGTGAATGTGGTGAAACTTTTTTAATGAAGGATGCTGTTAACCATATTGAAAGTGATTGTCATATTACTTTTAAGGAAGCAGAAAAAATGAGGAAAGAATTAGAAGAACATATTCGTATAGAAAATGATACTGATAGTGATA